AATTGCAGAGATTCTTATGACGACAGACGGGTAGACGGGCTTATCATCATAAACAGATGCTAATGAAAGTGAAATTGAATTTTTTAGCATGATTTGTTGGATGTTGAGTGGATTGGGTTATTGGCTGGGATTATAAGACAATGAATTAATGGGGTACGGAGTTAAGTAGCTAGAAGTAGCTAGTTGTCTGTTTCTAGGGTTTGGTTCTATCAAATTTTTGGGAAGTTTTGCCTCTGTAATCTTCTATTAATAGACTAAAGGGCTCAGGAGGCAAACAGTTACATCTACTGAGTCCTAGGATTAAAACCTTTAATGATGTAGAAACCGTCTTAATTAAAAGCGCCTTAAACTGAACAAAGTGACTTTCTTACCACATTCTGGCAAAACTTCAACAAAATTCAAGTTTAATATTAAACAACTTCTTAGTCTTCATTGTTCCATTATGTACATGCGGCATAAAGCTCCTATTGAAACAAACTAAATAAGAACTGTATTAGTTCGCATTCTTGACATGTGCGTATTATAAATACTCTGCGGAATGCTTAGTGACAGCATTGTTTATCACATATAATCATCAATTTAGTGACTAAATGTTATATAATAATGAATATATTAAACTTAATTGTCGCACGAGGAAATTAAAATAAAAAATCTTCTGAAAGTCATCACGCACAAGCTTTGGAATGAAATATTTCGGACGTAGACATTTCTTTCTCTCTTAATGGGCCCACAATTTAAGATCTCGAAAAACAAAATTTCTTTATTGCCTCATGAAATATTCAATTGTCAGAGAAATTAAGTGCTCAAAATTTTTATGGCCTTTCTCGTGCCGTACTTATGTACTTACTTATTTGAGTGTGCGGCACGTAATTATGAACAATAGAAAACAGCCCGAGGATGAAGACGGAAAAGAAAAAGAACAATTTTCATTGAGAAATTTTTTGGCTAAGTTGATGTGGCGCCAAAAAGATAAGGGTTGCGGACTGAAAAAAAGTCAACTTTTTTTTATCGTCTATAAAAAATGCTCGTGGTGAGGCATAAATGGCTTTTTTTCAGCATATAATGTTATTCAATGGACGAATGTAGGAGTTGAATTTGAATGACATATTGCATTTATATGTATTGGAGTCAAGAGTTTAATTGAAAGGCATCTGACTTGAGATGTGATGTTGCGAACTGTCTGGCATGAAAACATTGAGGCTGAAATGAGATAATTTATTGGGAAACTTCTTCAATATTGTTAACTAGTTTTTGATACAAAATTTAAATTAGGTCATGATTTTCCCATCAAAAATAAGAAGAACTTGAAAGTTTCTGTGAATTAATTTGTTTGTTTCAAATTCCTTGATATCAGATTTGGAACAGCTTTAATCCAAACTTATTGGTAACTGTCACGAATTAATCTTGTTCAATGCTTCCAAACATTTTGAATTTAATAAGAATCGAACCTTCACCTGCCTTAAGACGTAGATCTATATCGTGGATACTCACGCATAAGCCTGACCCGAATGGCATAAGTCGGTTAATCGAATAGAATTCCAGCGCCAAGCCTGCATGACTCAAACATTGTGCTAGTTCGGTTTAAATCCAGCATCTTGCCATAGTCACACTGGCTTGGTCGATTAACCTTCTTGTGCTATTCGGATAAGTTTAACTATACAAATATTTATGCTTTCTCGAAATCCCGGTCCCGACAAATTTTCGGGATCGGGATCGGGATTGAAATTTTTCGGGATTTCCCGGGAAATCCCGGGAATCCCGAATATGTAAAAAAATTTAAAAAACAGCATTTTTCTGCTTTTTTTTCCAAAAAAAATTGTATATTTTTTTGCTACTTATACGGTCATTTATTCCTTAATTAATTAGTTATAATTTATGTGTTACAAGGTAGATGTTTTAATCCATTTTTCCTTTGAAAAATGTGAACATAAACAAAAATAGAAAATAAATGTTGATAAAGATGTAAGTTAAAAGGTTATAGAAAACGGTGTGAATATAATAATAAAAATTAAGCATTAATGAAAAAACTTTTAACAAATGCAATTGCATTTAGATTCTTGTCAAGTAAACGTTTTCTTTGTTTTGTAAGAATGTTGTTACTAATAGAGAAATTTCGTTCGCTTTGAGTTGAGGTCGGCTGCATTGTTATCAATTCATCGTAAAGTTGATCTAATAAAACGGTTCTCTTCTTATTTTTGTCATACCAATTAAACTCTCTTTTCAAGTTATTTGGTTCTGTTGCTGCTGCATCTGTTGTTAATGATGTATATTCAGATATGCTTAGTTTCAGTCTATCTCGAATAAAAATGTTTGACGGTTGGATTTGATTTGCACTGTATGTTGAAGCTTCCATAGCTCCATTTGTAGAGTTTTTGACAAAATACTTCTTCAATAAGTCAATGCCAAGTTTATGTATTGCAGCTTTTGTTGACGATTTAAAATGCTTGTCTAAAGAAATATATTGAGGATTATTCAGGTAAAGTATTAAGTCAATTAATGTTCCATTTCTTCGTGCACCTATGCGAGCGCAATTCATATCGTAAACCTTTTGAGACAATAATGTTCCTTGTAGCAACAATTCGTCTAGCAAAAAGTTAATTGTTCCTTCAGCAATTAATAAATCGTTTGATTTACGCAATAATTCTTCTGTCGCGTATTTAGCAGGTTCTAAAACATCAATAATTTCCTAAACTAAAAAACCGGGATTTTCAATCCCGATCCCGATAAATTTCGGGATCCCGGGATTGATCGGGATCGGTAAATCCCGGGAAATCCCGATCCCGATCCCGATAGCGAGAAAGCATACAAATATTATATCAGTGTGTCTTATACTTCCAACCGAATAGTAATAACCGTCAAAATACGCAATACCCAAAAGAAAAATCCCACGAGACTTTTACATCAACCCCAAAATTACGTAAATAAATTATGCGATTAAAAGGTTTTATTTTATTCATTAGGAATATTAATTTAAACATCCACAGACATTTGAATAAATTTTTCATGTCCGAGTGACGATCCAGCTCTCCCTCAAAACCCATTTTTGTATCTTCTTCCACCTCCTACCTCTTCTTATTCATTAGAAATTTCATAATAGTAATTATTAAGTAGTAAAAAGTGTTTTTCTTTCCGGCTTGACAATGAAACAGAAACAGAAACAATTTTTTTTTCTTCTTCTTCCACAACTGAAGGTTTAAATACACATGAGCAACGCATTAAAATAACTATACACAAGGAAGTGACAGACAAAAGAGTTGCTTGTAAAATATTAATACACACAAATCTACGTGAACTACAAAATTGGTAATGAAAGGGATTTTATGGTAGAGAAGTTGTAGCGCATTTATACTGAGGTAAAGGGTTATTTCAAAAATTATGGATTGTGGGCTAATAAGTTATCATTGAATATGGAGTCTCAGCAGAGAGGAATCTGGAGTATCGAGCCATATGTAAACCAGTCGCGTAACTAATGGGGGGGGGGGGGGGTGTATATTTGGTGGACAAATCCTCCGAGTTTAACAGAAATTTCTTCATTTTGCTAAGAGTTTTTTAAAAAAATCATAAAAACCCCCTTCCGTCTGAAAATTCCCGATATAAAATTTTTCTGCCCCCCCCCCCCTCTTCAAATTCCTTGCTACGCCCCTCATGTAGACGATTTTGCAAATACGAGAGTTCGGCTTCTGTGGTCGAGTGGTTAGGAAACAGACCGGATATCTGTTACACTCTTTTGTGAGGACGTAGGTTCGATTCCCAATCTCTTATACCATTACATAAAGTGTGGTCGATGTATCAAGTACTCGCATAATACTCACGACATTGCATTAAGTTGTCTGAGTAGCAAGCAGCCATAAATAGTTGCACTTAGTTGTAAAGTTGCTTGTTTTGATTTTACTGGATATCACTAAGACCTAAAAATCTCTGTTTAGTCAAAAATCCAAGCTTTACTTGAAATAGCTTGTAATTAAAATAGGTTCATATGTAACTTATAATTGCTGATTGAATGACATTAAATGTCTACAAAGTGACCACACCCTTTTTTTTACCGAAAAACATGTTCAGCTAGCTACTTAACTAGCCACTAAGTCAACCTAAATCCACAAACCCACACCATTCATTAAATAACCGCTCAAAGCAACAAAAAAAACTCTCAGAAAGTTTGTTTTTTAAGAAATATATATATTTGTAAGACAATGGATACGCCAACAACGAAACAATAACAATAATAATGAAAATTTTCCCAAAAAGATTTTAATAACCGCTTTTTTATGAGGCAAAAAAAGTTCTCGACACCACAAAAAAAAATTTACCTTACATTGCATTTCATTACGCGTTGATGCTCGTCACTTACCGAGCGTGTTGAAGAAGTTTTCCTGCCGAGTGGATGAAAAAAAAAAGTTTTTGGCAAAATAAATTCTGGTTCCGCATTAAATTTCGTGTGTGTTTTCAAAACAAAAATAAAGATAATTAAATTGCAGACTTTATAAAGCTGTAATTATGCGTGCTGTGAAGTAAATTGTTGTGTTTGTCAGATCGTTGGCATATTTTTCAAATTAAAGAAATTTGCAGTCGCAGCATAAATAAAAATAATAATTTGCTTCATGATGACTGTTGTATTTTTTGGTGTGCAATCATGTAAAATATTCGCATGAATGTGTTTTTGTATGCAAATAAGATTGCATAAGACGATTGTGGGAACAAAAAAAGTTATTCGGTGCTGCAACTTGCATGTGGAAGAAGTACAAGAAACTCAAATATGCGTTTGAGAACGGTTAGACAAGTGAAACAACAGTTTCAGAAGCGACGAAACAGCAAAAAGATGGAAGTTTTATCGAGTAAAGTTTCACTGTTCCTTTACTGTCTGCTGTTTGAAGCTTAATTGAAAAGTTTTTCATTTGCAAAAAGCACACAAAAAAGTTTTATTTTCTACTTAATTAAAATTTTAAAGTTTCTGAAAGAAAATCCGACATGATCTAATCATTACTTACTCTATCTATTTTTAGCATTTCATCGGAACTTACTGTCGCTGAATCTTAATAATGAGCCAGCAACAAAATCAATTGTACAATTGTCAGCACTTGAAGCAGAATCAATAGTCGATTATTTCATCTCAACAATGTATGCACAAAGTCATCAAGAGTCAATGCATAACGCAATCATGAACGGTAACATGATTGAAGCGTCCCTCATACCGGGATCAACGGGAATGTCACCATCGCCCACTATAATGCAACAACAACATGGAACTGAATTGTATAGTAATGGAAATGTGACTGCAAATTCGTTAAGGACACACTCGTCAAAATTTCCGGTAAGTTTAATTCTTGATTGAGTGGAATTGGGTTATGGCTGTTGACGGGTTAATGGATTTTGAGTGGGATGAGATGGCTGGTGTGTATTTTGGGAATAGGAATTTATTTTATTATTGTGCTGAGAGGGACTTAATGATTTTTGGAGGATTTTGTAGTTCAACAGTCGATTATGCTTTGATATGATTGATTTGAACTAGGAGAAGACTGTGTTGGAATGACTGAACATTGTTGTTCCTTAATGCTAAATCAAGCCTAAAGAATTGACAGAGATGTGGCACAGGTGGCACAAGGATATACTAGCATCTGGATGACTTCCTTACGGCATTTTGCGTACACGAATTGTGACATTACAGGGTACATCAGGTCTATAGACGTACTCATGTCTTTGCAATGTGCAGAGCTTGCAAGTGGTTTGGATTCCACTATAAACTGTAGGTCTAAAGGGTGTGGTACAATAGATTCTTTACAAATTGAATAGCAGTGCCTCTAGCTGAAAGGCTGGGCCCTTCACACATTATTATTATTATTATTGAGAGAGACAGGAGGACAACACAACTCCATTCCAACGTATTCCTTATTAAAATGTTGGCTCTGGATCTGACTCGGCTCCTTACAGAGGATATAGTTGACTTTCCATCCCTCTATACAACTCTATCAAGTCAACTGCATTCTCAAACCTCTTACCAAACTCCAAATTCATCAATAACATAATTTCTGCATCATTGACAGCAGAGCTCGAAGTCGATAGGGCAACTTTTCTTGAGTCGGCTTCATTTTTTTTGAGTCAACTCGAGTCGACTTCGAGCTATGATTGACAGCTCATAAAATAAAACAAAAAAAAAACTTTATTAACTCAATTTTCTCAATAAATCTATTTGCCTATGACTAATGCTCAGCAAATTCATATTAAATGATGTGTAAAATTGCTTCCAATTTTCATCAATTAATGTACAACTTAAATCGATGGCAATTAATGTAAATTGCTTGTGAATAATAATGAGTATGAAAACGAAGCCGAGACGAAGTTTTAGTTATAAAATTGCGGATGAGAAGAAGAAAATCAGGTCTGTCTGTACTGAGAGGAAGTGGAGAGAATTTTAAAAAGTGAAATTAAATATTTGAAGTGTTTCTAATTATGTGACTAAGTAAATTGAGAAATTATGTGGATCTTACGATTCTATTCATGTAACATGGTGAGATTTACAGCATTCTCGATGTGTTTGAGAGATTAAAGTTTTGTAGAGCACATAAAATTAATTAAAAGTCAATAAAAAAAGTTAGATGGGATTAAGTTAAAGAGTTTTTCTGTATAGTTTTGTGCTGCAAAGTGGAATATTGGAGTAATAATCATGAAAAGCTGTTTGCACATCAAATTGAGTGGAAATTTAATCAGTTTCTGTGTTGAAGTTGTGATTTATTTTAGTTGCTTTAGCTTGATTGCTGCATATTTAAAGCTAGATCATTTGCAGACATCCGTGGTGCACTCAAGCTACAAATTAAGAGAGTTTTTGAATTTTTTGAGGATTTTCGGAATTATTTTCTAAAAATCAAAGGATGGAACCTCCTTAATCCACCTCTAAGCTCACTTTTTCCTACAAACCTGTGGATAAGAGATTCAAAGACAGAATTCAATCACTTACCAATAAATTAATGCATCAAAAGACTTCAAACAAAACTTTTCCACAATAATCGATTGACATTCTCAAAAAAAACCCAATCCATCCTTCATAAACACAATCAGACATGATTCATTGTCATCCGTTCGATCTTCATCAACAGCAGCAAACACAATTCAATGTCACAGTCGTCTGGAAAGCTCTCAAGATTTCCAATCCACTGAAGCCTTCAACATTATCACTTACTAAATATTAAATTTCATACACGCATAAGCTTAAAAAGCTCATTGACATTGCAACATGCTATCAGTTTTCAAGTGCTTTTTCAACATTATATGCATCATATTCATCCTTTCTACTTCTTTTATTATTAAATACTTTACGTCTGCTTGATGAAAAAGCAAGAAGAAATTAATACGAAATGAGAGATGATGAAAAACTTTTTATGAGTGGTATGCGGAACACTTTCATTTACTGCTTTTATTAATATGAAGACACAATACAGCAGCTGAGGAAAAGTGGTAACATATCTCAGTTACTTGATATGCTTATGTTTTGGCTTGATATTTATATGACATTGAATGTTATTTGTAACAAAATCTTAGCACAGAATGTCAATAATCTAGCATTCAACTGGTGGAGGAGGATGAGGTGCGTCTGGCATCAGGTACTTAAGATATTTCAAGTCTGACTTACATTTGAAATGCAAAAGAATTTAAATTTCCGTGCCCAATGCTGAATAATTCAGTCAAAGCTGCTCTTAATGTATTAATGTCTATCACTACCTTCATCTAATGCATAAATTTCTGCTGACTTTTAAAAATTCAATTTAAATTTATTTCTATCATAAATCTCATCAAATATCAAGTCATGTTTCTGCAATTCTGCTTCTCCTATGACACATGCCTAAAAATTGAATGCTAAAGTTCATGTCCCAATCTACACGACAAATGGAATTGATATCGAAAAATTCCTTCATCATTTTGGTGCTGATTTTCAATTGAATATATCCTCATATCCACATATCGATGATAAATAAAAAAAAAGCCGATCGGCTTAAATTTCGGCTTAAAATCGGCTAAATTGAAATTCTGAGCTCACTACATGCTGACAAAATATTACACAGAATCATAGTAAAGCATGTAAAGTTCAATTTAAATACTTGAAATGGGTGTCAAATGGCTTTTTTCTATCAAAAAAATCAAAAATTGAGTTAAGCCGAAAAAATCGGCTTCGATCTCTGATAAATAATGTCATATCGTACACATGCTGATAATGTTAGAGGAACGAAAAATCCAAAAATAAAGGCTCAATTTTGTGTATTTCTTGTTGCTTCACATGTGACAGGAAAAGAATTATGTCTATTATAAATTTGCTGGTTCGTAGCCAGGAGGGTCTTGCCCCTCTCTCTTAAACGTTTTGAACCTCAGCGAAAGCTACAGCCTAAAACGCTTTTGAGGGGAACAATACCCTCCTGGCTACGCGCCTGATTCAGCAACATAAAATCATGATGCTGTACATGATGCTTTGTGACTTTTTTTCGTCAATCGAGGAACAGCAAAAATTGACATTTTGTTATGTTAAAATAATGTTTTTTTGTGTATTTGAGGGAATTGAGTCCCTTGTAGCATTGAAGACATGGAAATGTCAATGAAATTGCGTTGGATAGAAGCTGTGCTGAAGAGATGTTTTTTTAAGGGAAAGTACCTAAGCTCAAAACTTATGTAAACTCATGAATAAGTCAATAACCTTCTAAGGATTTCCAAAAGCACTCAAAAGCTCACATTCCATTTCTACTCAATCACAAAGTTCAAATTTTTAGATAAAATCAAATCAACAAAATCAGTTCAGAATGTGAAATATTGAAATGGGATGTAACTCAATTTAGAGCATCGAATATGTTTATCAGCAAACATCAACACATGCACACGTGTTAAAAGCTTCATAACTATGCAGATTTATTTGAAATATTTTTTGTTGATAGTTTGTGGCAGGGGTGTAGCAATGAATTTATTTGGGGAGTCTAGATGAAAAGAAGGTCTGAAGCTGTGCATTGTCGTAATGAGGAGGGATTTAAAACTGGGCGCAGGGGTCTAGCCAGGGAGTCGGGGGGTTGAAACCCTTACCAATTCGGAATATTTCTAGTTTGAAGAGTTTTTGAGAAAAGAACTGCAAAAACCCCCCTAAAATTTTCAGATTACCTTCTTTAAGTTATTTCTTGTTAAGCCCCAGCCTGGGCGCCATGAGAAAGTGATCATTAAAATTGTTGCTATACTTAAATCATACAAAATACTAAATAAGCGCAAAATAAGCTTTTAAAGCCACATTTTAATGATGAGAGCATTTTTAACCCCAAAAACCCTTTTGAGACCGGTTTTTCTTGCTTCCTAGGATGCCATTTCTAGTTGCACTCAAATCTAATTATTACCCAAAATTGTTAAGACTTGGATTCTCGATTCCAGTTTGTGGTGCCCTAAGGAGACCTAGTAGCTACCCCTGAATACCTCCTTTCAATTCACATCCAAAAATAGATTGAATTTCATTTTTATTTTCATCCATTTTCATATGATTGACTGTTGATGCTCGGAAAATTGATTCCGGAGATACATTGTGATCATACTGTACTTATTATTATTTATCAACATGTGGCTCTGTTTTTGAATTTCTCGCAAATTTTACAAATAACAAAAATCATTTTGGGATTTATTGCTCTCAAAATTGAAGCAATTTTAAAATCAATCATGACGGAAATTGGAAATTGGAATTCAATTTTTGGAGCATCATCCTCGTTAGCAATTTAAGTTGAAAATTGTGATGATTGTTGAACAAAGCGTGGCTTATATTTGAATCAGTCTGTGAAGGATTTTTTTGAATTGAATTTATTAAATTTGCATCTTTTGAATTTTAATTTTTTTAAATGAAGGAATCGAATAGAATTAAGCCACAAGCATCACGTGAAGAATAGCTTAGGATGATAAAATTGAGCTTCCAAATCCATTGCTTTAAAGTTGATTAATGTTTAATATCTACACCAACTTAACCACGTTCATATTTGCATATTAAAACTCAGAAAAAAATCCTCAGAACTTTCCACAACCTTTTCATGATTTCTCCACAATGGACATGATTGCAATGGTTTCTATTCTTTAATTCATGATTACAATTCCCTTCACATAGCCCATTATATCCATTCATTTCAACTAACCCAGAACAAAAATTAATTCAATTCATAAATCTTTCAGATGAAAAATTGCAAGCAAAATTCTGTAAAATGCATAAAAAAATTGCTAATAAATTTTATGGAAAATTCAATATTGAAATGCATATTCTATCGTGTACAGTTCCATGCCATAGTCCATTGCAGTAATATTTTTGAAATCAGCATTATTCAATTATTCAATTTAAACTCATGCGAATTGGAACTTTTTACACAAAAAAAAATTATTGAACTTTTCTGTACTCATATTCAGCTTAGAAAGAGAAACATTGATCGCATAACCTGAATTTAACCTACATACAGGTGGAAATTGTCAATGACATCCTGTGACTACTAATGTATTTTTTTCTTAATGCACTTAGAATCGATAGTGAAAGTGAGGTTGTGGTAATTAGTCAATTGATGGCAATAAATCATCAGTTAAAAGTACTTGATGTATAAAAACATGCGTGGATCAGTAATTAGAGTCCAGGGTTGGAAATTCAGGTTAAGTTTATGGATATAAGATTGATTTAGTGTCTAGTTGAAATTTAACTTTAGTGTTTAGGGTCTCGTTTCAACATTTGATGCTTTTTTTGTAGGAAGACAACTTAGGAGCCACTCCAACACTAGTTTGGTGCCTTACTTAATCTTATTTTATATTAAGACTAGCTTTATATCAACCAAACACTAGTAACGGACCTCAAAATAGCCATTTTAGCTCAACCCTAGTCCAAACCTACCCGAACTTTCAAAATTTAATCCCTAACCTCAAAAGCTCCCCACAAATCCCAACTCTGTCTCCAATAACAAGTCCAATCATAAGCATTCAATACAACTCACGTAAACTAGTAATTACACATCCATCGAAAGTCAATTACATATAATCGTAATTAATTAATTTATAAGCAATCAACATGACATGAATACAAAGTGTTTCTGTGCTTATTATTTCGTAAGTACGCAGCATACCTGTTGAAAGTAAATAAAAGAAGAAGAACGTCCTTTAATTTATGACATTCGCAGCACTTTCCGACTGACATCATTTGTGGACACTTCCTCTGTCTACTCTCTACCTTAATTTCTGTCATGTCGACGCCTTTGGGCTATGTACAGAAGCTGCTTCTTCCTTGTCTAGTTTTGTTTTTGTTCTGAACAGAATATTTCCAAAAATAAATCGGAATTACATCACGAACTGATGCCACAGTTTTTTTTCCAGTACGGTGTGAAATTAGAGATTAAAGCAGCTCATAAGTAAAATAAATGTTGAAATTGTGTAGCGTACATAATGTATGGGAACATTCACACACGCTACAAGTCATTGTTTGTGCTTTTTGGGCGCACTTTTTGGATAATGACTTAACAGTATTATTTTGTAGGTTAGAAATTTTTTTAAACTTTTTTTTGTATCGTAGAGATTCCAAAAATTGTTGGCTTCCTGTGAGAGAAAGTTTGAGGGTTAATTGAAAGATGATACTAGGAAGGCGAGAGGCTTGTAATGAGATATAGCTAAGCTGGTGTCATTCTAGTAAACAAACACGAATTTTTTGTGTTTTATGGCAAACGAAGCTAATTTTGGGGTTCATTCATTTGTGATTTATACGAATGGCACAATTGCAGTCATCATTGACCTAAAATAGCTGTCATGATACTATCAGGGCATCTCCTGCTTGTCGTTTTGAAGAACTGTCGTTAACAAGATGATATGGCTGTGCTATAGCGACTATGGAGTGATACTAAGCAAGTCCAATAATTCAAAAACCATCAAAATCCGAAATATTATCCTAACCCAACAAACATAAAGCTCGACTCAACCAAACCCCTAAAAAGCACATTTAATTAAATTATCTTCTTCATAATTTTGTTCCATGTTCAATTCACAGAAATGAACAACAATACCAAACCATACCTGTATTATTGTGATATCAAATTGCGCATTTTTCCTTTCTACTTCTTATTAATTTCCTCACAACAAGATGAAAAGTATGCCTCAAGTTGCTTTTTATTGCCGTGTGGAAGGTCTTAACAGGTGTTCTTATTTGTGAATTTCTGAATATTTTTAGATGTAGTACACAGCACACGTGAATACTTAAGGGATTTATTTATAACGTATACATGCGGTATGGCTTCGCATGTATGCAGCTACGAAACTTTTTTCTCATGACATGTAGACGTGCTTTTCTTGTGCATAAGTAATTTCTTTTTGACTTCTTCTTATTTCCGACAATTTTGATGTCGATTTCATCAAATTAAATTCTGCTCGTGTGTTTTTTTTTTTTGGGGAATTTATTTTTTGCGTGTTTGAGTTTGCAGCCACAAAAAAAAGTTTCATCCTAAGGCAATGAGAATTGATGAGAATTGAAAGCAGAGCAAAGAAAGAAAAAAATGTCTTTAAAATAATTTTTTTCTCTCTTTTCATTTTAGATTGAACGAGAACTAATATTATCGACAGATAAAAGTGGCTCGAAGGTTCCAATCAAGCAATATCCACGTCATATTCCAACAACTCCAGTAGCATTTAATCGTTCATCAGTTTCAAATGGTAATGGTAATGCCACGGGCGTTATACAGCAATTTTTACCTAAATCATCTACAGCTGTTGCACCTGATCATCCAACTCCAAAACATGCATGGGTAAGTGCTCTTTGTAATCCCTGATTTAAACTTCTTTTTAACGTAGACATTTAAATTAAATCAGGCTTTTATTGAAGCTCTAATTATTGGTAAAGACAGGAGCAATTTTTTTTGACTTATTATATCATGTAAAATGGATGAGAAGAAGACTGAGACATGAAAGAGAGAACTAAGCTATTGAATCATTGATAATTATGGAGTTATTTTCTGAATTGAACGTTTTTAGTTTTTATTGCTGTCCCTTGAGGATGTTTTAGAAGCAATTGTATCTTAAAGTGACACAAAGTTGCGGATTTGTGTTTAAATTGATGTTAAAATGAAGGAAGTCAAGTTTCTTTGGATATAAGATTGATGAGACAATTGAAATGACCGATGGATCACATTCATGTCATGTGATAAATAGGTGAATCTGCCAGTGCCAGGTCACTTGAGTCGAATGACAAAGAAACAGTCAAAAAATCTTTAATCCTGTTTTTTTGAGGAGTCATTGGTTCGATTTCTACTAGTCAGGCGCGTAGCCAAGAGAATCTTGTCCCCCTCTTAAGCATTTTATGCCGTGCTCTTGCTGCGGTTCAAAACGTTTAAGGGGGGACAAAACCGTCCTGGTTACGCGCCTGCTCCTAGCCAAAGGTTGATCTGTCAACCATTTAACACGACTTTACATCTAGATTAGCAATTTCTAGACTCAATGACTCAAAATTAATCAAACTTCAATAAAAATCAGACAAAAATCCATTCTAAGGGTACACCAATCCCATTCCAGGATGATGATGATGATTTTTTAAAAGACCATTTTTTTTCAATGAACGCCCATTGAAAAATATCAGAGAATTAAATAAAAAGATCTTTTATTCCTCATCTCCTTTCGAATCCAGAGCATGTGAACAGCATAGAATTATGATTTCATTTAATACTCCATACTTAAACTTGTGTTGGTTAATGCTACACAAAGAGAATAAAATGCAAAAAAAAATCTTTGCGTGAACGATTCAATTTTAACTCATCCATGCTACAGCTTCATCCTCCGTGATTCTTTTGTTTTCATCCAATATGTTTTTGTTTCATTGCTCTTAGAGGGAATGGAAAATAATTTGAGTTTCAAATGATTGGTGGATGTATGAGTATAGAGTGCATTTATAAGGCTGTAACTGTTCTGCAAAAAGTTTGGTACTTATTTTCGAAGCTTAGCCTTTTAGCTTTCGTTTGATATGAATCATATGTGACATGTGGATTAAATTGACTGTCCTTCCTAATGCATCTAGATCCGGATGTTCTTCAAAGTCTACATAAGACTCAAAATAATCAAGTCTTAATTTTGAATCTAATTTTACCCGACTAGGTTGAGTTGACTAGATTGAGCTTAGTTGACTGAGTTGAGCTTAGTTGAATAAGTTGAGCTTAGTTGACTAGGTTGAGCTAAGTTGACTAGGTTAAGCTTAGTTGACTAGGTTGACCTTAGTTGACTAGGTTGAGCTTAGTTGACTAGGTTGAGCTTAGTTGACTAGATTGAGCTAAGTTGACTAGGTTAAGCTTAGTTGACTAGGTTGACCTTAGTTGACTAGGTTGAGCTTAGTTGACTAGATTGAGCTTAGTTGACTAGATTGAGCTAAGTTGACTAGGTTAAGCTTAGTTGAATAAGTTGAGCTTAGTTGACTAGGTTGACCTTAGTTGACAAGGTTGAGCTTAGTTGACTAGGTTGAGCTTAGTTGACTAGATTGAGCTAAGTTGACTAGGTTAAGCTTAGTTGACTAGGTTGACCTTAGTTGACTAGGTTGAGCTTAGTTGACTAGGTTGAGCTAAGTTGACTAGGTTAAGCTTAGTTGAATAAGTTGAGCTTAGTTGACTAGGTTGAGCTTAGTTAACTAGGTTGAGCTTAGTTAACTAGGTTGACCTTAGTTGACTAGGTTGAGCTTAGTTGAATAAGTTGAGCTCAGTTGACTAGGTTGAGCTTAGTTGACTAGGTTGAGCTTAGTTGAGCTTGGTCGAATAGGTTGAGCACAATTGACATTTCAATCTCAAATTTTACATCCTATAAAGACTCTAGGATCACCATAGTAGATTCTAAATTAAGATGGAACTAGGGAAGGAATACAATATTTTAAGTCAAAATGACTTCACTATCTAGCATTAATTGATTCATAAAAGCACTCAAGTAGACAACACAAAAAAAGCTAATTGATTGCATATAGTGTGTAGAGTAGTCTAAAAGAAGCGATAAAAAGATACAATAAGAAATATGAAGAAAATGAGAGAATAGATTAAGTGGTTGGAAGAATTGGCTTTCAACTTAATTACACCTTAACATACGAAAGAGCATCTCAAGCACATGAAAATGATTTTTTTTTCCAAACTACACACAACCATTCGATTCAAGATCATAGTTTGAATTGAATTAATCGTAAAAAAAAACAACAAAAGAGATTCACTCTCATCTATTTAATTGAATGAAAATGTTCACATTCAATTGTTTTATTATTCAACTGAGAAATCAGCTTCTTCACTTTGATAGTGTATGGGTGTTGGTAGATGAATTAACTTCTTACTTGACTCTATTTCTTATTGCTATTATTATGTGCTAAGTGTACGCTCTGATTTTTTAAGCACACAACACTTAATAACAAAAGAGATTTCGGAGAATATAAAGGAAAAAATAAAATTATTATTTTGTTCGGTGCTGCGTGTGTTGGACGAAATTGGAAGTTGGAGTTGCTTCTGTTGGAATGAAAACGTTTTAAAACGCAGATTTTTGCTGGGAAAGTTCAGTATTTTTTTAAATTTTATTTAAACAGTAAATTGAAGTTGGTATCGACTAGAGAGCAGGCTGATTAAAAATTAATCAATATCGACCCCTTCTTGGATCTGTCTGAACCCCTTGTACCAGCTTAAACCATTGTAGACCTACTTAAGGCTTCTTTAGACATCTTAAAACTTTTTTAACCAAATTCTTGAGCTTCCAGAGGAAACTTATTCCAAGATTAATTGATTTTCGATCCAACAATCTCCCGAGTAGCTATAGAAACCTACCCTTAGGTCTTAGGGAACATCCAAACGAAAAATTGATTAAAACATGATTAATTAATCCAGAATTCTCTAAACTGCAGTTCAGCTTTAGGAAATTCTCATAAAAATTCATCAGACAAATCGCAAATCAAATCACATTCAACCAAGCCCTCCAAAAACCAGCTAACTTAAACAAGAATGAAAATTAATTCCACAAATCTACTAGCATCAGTTCAACACACAAGACGCAACAAGAGAAAGAATGGCAAAGGAAATAAAATAGCAAAATTGCTCATAAATTGCTCATTGAAAAAGATCCAAAACGAATTAGCAAAGAAAAAAAAAATTAATAAACTAATTGCGGTGCTCATGTCGTGATCTTTCATCTCAAACCTTTCTTCCTTTTGATGTTTATTAGATTTCTTTTAAAAAGCAATTCATGAATGATATGAGAATGAAATTTATTTGAAGTTTTATTGCAAAAAGCTGGAAGAATAGTTTATTGAAATTGGTTTGGATGATCTTGTGGGATTTGCTGGAAGATAGCATTCAATAGATCGGTAATGAAAGCATAGAAACAGGTTATTGATCCTTTTATGGAATTGAGTTTTATAATTTTAGGTGAGTTGAGATTAGTTTTGGGAGATTGAAATAAAGGTTGGATTATCATCAAAAGGTGGATTTGAATCTCCTTGAATTAACAAATCCATAGCTTTTTGATGGTTGATTTATTTAAACTCAACTCTTCATCTTCTAATGCAGTGTTGTTCAAACCGTGTGTCACGGCACATGGGTGAGACAGCACTGTTCTGAAGGGTCAAAGTCATAACTGCTGATCTCCCTATAACTGCTATATGTGTATATTAATGTATATGAAGTCGGGTTCGATAGGAATCGAACCTACGACCTCAAAAATGAGATTTCTGACCACTCGATTAGAGATCCCTGCCACTCGGCCACCTAGGTACTTATCTCACTTCGGCTATCCATCATACACATATAACCAGTTTCACTGTGAGCCTTATGCTCAGGCTTATCTACAACAGATGCTATTCGAGTCATATCCACAACAACTTTCTTTTATTAACATTAGATCAAATCCAAACCTATCAAATAAAGCAATTGTTCAGGTCGATGACTTTTCAAAATTAATCCTTTCAATAGTTAATTACAACCGCATACACAAAATTTTAGTCATAGGTCAAAAAGTCAATTCCTTTCAATTAAGCAGAAAAAAATATTCACCGTTAATCAAACACAAAAAAATACTCGCAAGTACGATCATTAACATGACATTCAATTTTAATTCTTTCGTTCATTAAAGCAAGATCACATGAAAAGCAACAGCACTAAACGACAAAAAAAAAAAAACAATGAATGCTCAAGAATGTTTCTTTATTCTCAATATATATTCAATGAGTATATGCGCCTTCAATGTTGTGAATATTTTTTCATAAAGAAGAAGGAAGACTATCCATTGAATAGTGAGGTTGAAAAAAAAAGAGAGAGAAAAGAATGCCACAGATTAAGTCAGCACTTAAAGAATGAAATCTAAGGAAACTTCTTTGACTTAACAATGTGAACCTGCTTGAATGTATTTGTAAGCTTTGCGCTCGATAAATTATTGAGAGTGAGGTCGTATAAATGAGAACAAGAACAATCCAAAAAGAATGAGTTTTTTTGATTGTGTGTAAATTTCCAGCCATATTCCAATAATTTAATGTTCTATCCTCCCTTACATGCTCATTCTCTCTTTTGCTCATCTTTTATTATTTGTTACTTCTTCATACGCCAGTCTTTATATTCTTTATTCTCTGACTTTAATTAAAAATTCAAGCACGATATTATTATGTTTGTTAAAGTTCGGTGAATATGAGCGAAGAAGGCAAAGGTGTAGTGTCGAATTTCTATGAAATGTGAGAATGGGTGCGGAATTGAATTGCAGGATGGAAGCGCATTTCTGGGTTGAATTGATTTTTAATGTGTTCCTTGATTTTTTG